CAATAAGGGTAAGAAAAAGAAATTTAAAACATAAAGATTGGAGAGGAATTAAATAAATTTCTTCTTATTCACAGATTATGTCATCGTGTGTGTAGAAAATCTATACAAAATTATTTGTATATACATTAGAATTAATGTTTAACACAATTGATGGTCAGTTTAAAAATTAATTAAAACATAAAAATCTCTGGGTCAAATGGCAGTTCAATTTTTAACTTTTGAGGTAACACCATAGTGTTTTCCACAGTGGCTGCACCAGTCTGCATTCCCACTAGCAGTGTACTAGAGTCCCCTTTTCTCCACACCCCCATCAACACTTGTTTGATAATTTGTTGATGGCGGCCATTCTGACAGGTGTGAGGTGATACCTCATTGTTGTTTTAATTTGCATCTCTCTGATGATTAGTGACGTTGAGCATTTTTTCATATGTCTCTTGGCCATTTGTATGTCCTGTTTGGAAAGTTGTCTATTTAGGTCCTCTGCCCATTTTTTAATTGGGTTCTTTGTCTTCTTTTTGTTGAGTTGTATGAGCACTCTATATATTTTGGAAATTAACCCCTTATCTAATGCATCATTGGCAATTATGGTTTCCCATATAGTGGGTTTCCTTCTAGGAATATACCTTAAGAAACCTGAAACACCAATCAGAAAGAATATATGTACCCCTATGTTCATAGCAGCACTATTTACAATAACTAAGATCTGGAAACAACCCAAGTGTCCATCAGTAGATGAGTGGATAAAAAAGCTGTGGTACAGGTATATAATGGAGTACTATGCAGCTATAAGAAAGAAATATCTCTTATTCTTTGAGACAACATGAAGGGACCTGGAGAGTATTATCCTAAGCGAAACAAGCCAGGCAGAGAAAGACAAATATCACATGATCTCACTTATTTGTGGAATATAATGAACTAAACAAACTGATGAACAGAATTGACCCAGAGACATAGAGGTGTGGTACAGACTGACATACTTCAGAGGAGGGGGGCTGGGGGGAGAGTTAAACTACAGAACTTACATGCATATATGCATGACCAATGGACATAGACAACAAAGCTGGGGATAGGGCCGGGGGGATGGGGAGTAGGATGTCAAAGGAGGAAAAAGGAGAAACATCTGTAGCAAAAACAAATTAATAAAAAAATTAATAAAACATAAAAATCATTAAAACATTCATTAAAAATCAATTACACTGATTTAAAATGAATTATCACTGTTATTCTTCCTAGTCTTTCACCCTAACACCATACTGTGATTACAACAGGCAACCAAGAGGAGGAACCTACTTCACTGAGGTCTGTTAGCTACAGATTACAAAATAAAGGATGCCTCTCCGAATTTTCTTTCAGTTAATCCTTCCTTCATTCATTCAGCTTTTTTTTTTTTTTTTTAATGCCTATTGTATACCAGAGTCTATCTTTGCCTTTAAATGGCTCAAAAAGTGGAGAATGACTGGCTACAATAGAATGTGTTTAGTCGAGTAAACAGGAGTATTTGAGACACAGGTGGAAGCAATTTGCTCCATCAAAGAATTTTAGGAAAGATTTCACAGAGCAGGCAATATTTGTGCTAGCCCTTGAATGATGTAGTAAGGTATCACCCATTCAGAGAAGGATGGAAAAAATAGAAATCAGAGGGAATGGAATAAATAAAGGTATAGAAATGTGAAAATACTTGGCATATTTGGGAAACATAAAAGCTAACAAGAGTAGTTAGATCTTTTGCCTGGTTGATATATCTATCTATCCTCGTGTACCTGTTATATTTACAAAATCTCTGTTTAGCTTCTTTTTAGTTCTGTTCTGAGTCATGAAAATAATAGAGGTGATTTTCATGTCTCAGAAGTACAGAGGGAGATTTAAAACTCTTCCACAATAGCTTCTCCAAGGATATCCCGTCTGTTTCCATAAATGCATCTTAGCCAACTAAAATTATTTTTTTTAATCCTCACCTGAGGATGTTTTTACTGATTTTAGAGAGAGTGGAAGGAAAAGAGAGAAAAATCCATGTGAGAGAGAAACATTGATCCATTGCCTCCCATATGCGCCCCAACTGGGGTCAAACAAGCAGCCTTCTGGTATACGGGATGACGCTCCAACCAACTGAGCCACCCAGCCAGGGCTAAAATGATTTTGATTATTTAAATGATCTGATTATAAAGAATCTGAAAACTACTTATTCACAACATGAAATTGGCCAAATTTTATGATGTTTAAAAATAGCTATCATATTTAGAAATTACATGATACATGCAACTTAACAGACATCTGAATTTTAGCAATACATTATTGCAACTTTCTGTAAAATATGTAGCAAACTTTCCCTGACATAGTGTGAACATTTGTACAAAGAATTGCTGTAACTAATGGTTGCAATTAAGCTTTAGATACAATAAAGCTGAATAAGCACTTTATGTGTCAAGAGGTTATGTTAAAATTATGTAGTATGTCTTATAACTCCATGATAATTATTATTACATGATGGAATTGCTCAACAAACTCTTACTGACATTGATTAGCCTCAGTAGCCAATTTTTTTTTGGTCCATCTTACTGGCCAAACTAAATACATAGCCTTGCTTTATTGAAGATTCTTATTTTTGCTCCAAATTTATAAAAATACTATTTAATATTTTATTACAGTTAGTTATTAGATTACTAATAATGACCAATACTCATATTTATTAAATAGATGTTTTAATTAGATGTTTCTAGTGCTTATAATTGTGAGTGATTAAATCAACAAACTCTAGAAAAGACAAATCAATTTTGTGAACCTTCTATGCAAGGTTTTAATAAATGAAAGCAGACTCTAAATTCTGCTTGCCTTCCTGCCATCCGAGAGTATTACCCATTGCCTTCTCTACAGAGCTACCCAAGAAAAAAGAAAGAAACTACATTGAGAATTTTCTGAATTCAGCTCTGTCTGTGTGTACACCCTCAAAATGAAACAAATTGGGGTAATTTAGTGAAGGTTAAATCCTCTAAATGACATTCACCTAAAACACACTGGGAAATGGTTTGGGAGGCTTAAATATCTTTGTAATTGCCTTACTTCTCTAGGTTGCTTTTGTAAGTACACCCAGCTTTATCGAATCTAACTGAGGATTCCGAATTGGGGGTTTAGGGCTGTCTGTATTTTTACTCTCAACGCCCTGAATCACATCTACGTGCCACATTACCCAAGTCTTATAAAGGGTCCACGGATTTTAATGCAAAGAGCATTCTAGAAGTGAGGGGTTTCCATTAATGGCCTGGCTGAGGCTTGCTCTCGAGTAACCAGCTTCTTTCCATTTGTCAGCCTTTCTTACCCCCAAGTCACAGGAAAAGTTTTTGAAGAACTGAGTGTGCTGCTAGCACCTTGTGACTTTGTTCTTCGATATTCGAACATAGAGTGATATTTCAAAACATTTTATTAATAACACCTCCCTTCTTTCTATTAAAAACATTTGCTAGGATCTGAGACGGAAGCGAAAGGAAAGATGTTTGTGGAAGGGCAGCTCAGCCCTGTCTAATTCTGAGTAAGAGTTTTCCGAGCAGTTTCTCTGAGTTAAGAGGTTTTTACTAGGATAACATATTCTTGAAGACACTATCTGAAAAACCAGATTTAAAAAAAAAAAATGATTTTAACAAGTTTTAAGGGTTTAAGATTCCAGGACCTTTCACTAAACACTGTGTTGTTTTCTTTTCTCTCGCCAAACTGTATTGCAAATAAACCTTTTGATGTTGTAAAGGTTTTTCTTTGTCAGCTAAGAAAAACACTCTGGAAAGTTCTATTTAGTGAATTTACCGGTGTATAAATATCCCTGAGCTAGTCTGTTATCCCAGGCATCTGGGAGAAAGGTGCTATTGTTTTAGATTCCGTGATTGAAGTGTAGAATAATCAATTCAGAAAGACCCTGGGGGGAAGATTCACTCGCATATGCCATGGAAACTTGGAATCCCTGAGTTTTTGAGTTTTTTCTACAGACCGAAAACATAGATGAGTTCCTGCTCCGGGACAATGTCTAGTAACATTGGTTCCCATTCGTGCCATATGATAGTTCGACTATCACTCTGCATTTGAGACTAGTAACTGGAGGTTTTCTAAGCAAAGTCCCTTTTTGTCAGTCCCTTTGTTACTACTACTTTCCTCGCTTTCGGGTCACAATAGCTAGCTGGCCACTGTGTGTGCAAGGGCTCTGGCTATGCAGTTTCTGCTGCTGCACCCCAAGCGACATCACCAAGGTATCCCCAAGGATGTAGCATCCTTAGTTCTGTGAAAACACTTCGTAAATAATGTAAAGCTCCTCGTCATTTCTTGCGAAGCAATGTTTGCTGAGCTCCTCCATGAAAAATCAGTGTAATTCCAGAAGATCACGATAGATTTGCAAGACAGGAATTTGCCCTGAGCTTCCAGACGCACATCTGCGTAGTTACGAACACGGTGGAAGCTCAAGTGTGCAGTTATTTCACCTTGGGTTGCATTTGAACACCTACTCTACCGCTTGTTCACTAGTGATTGAATAAAAACAGCTGTGTCTCGTGGCTTTCGACTGTGAAGTGTCCAAAAGTATAAGGTGGTTCGATGTAAAAACATTGCAAAACTATGGATAATAGACTGCCCACTTGCCGTCGACTGCAACTTCCCTGAGGTTTGCTTTGCAGGCCCAGCTGCAGAGACAGACAGGATGGAATTTGGTTTGCGAGGAACCTACAAAAATTACACAAACAGCTCCAGCTTTTAATGAATAATACACAGACATGCACCTGCTTTAGAGACTTCATAGATTAGTCTGGTGACCAATAGAAAAGCCGTTTGGAATTCAATTACATGGCTGCGAAACAGAACAGAAAACTGGCTGCAGTCTGAGGACTGAAATCAGCAAAACGTGAACTAGTTCTGGGAGCAAGTTTTTTTTTCTTTTTTTCTTTTTTAGGTGGTTTCAATTTGCTTTGCTTCTGTCAGACTTACTGTAAAGTCACAATATTCTCATATTGTCCCTGCTATTCTTGCAGCTGGAGCCACTCGCAGAAGACACTCGCCACCAAACCCCGAACACGAACGCTGTTCTCTCTTTACAGAAGATCACTGAAATTCAAAGTAGGTCTTAAACGTTTTTTTTTTTTTTAATTTGTAATCGGATATAACCAATTAAAGTTATATTGAGAATTTGAGCATATGAACAACATATTTGAGTTTCTCAAATAGGGGAAACATATTTAGAGTTATTATAATTTGCACATATTATGTATTCAGACCTAAATGTGTTGTTGCCTTGCTCTTAATGTGGCAATCTGATCGTACGCTGATAATGTCACTCCGAGACTCTAGAGCTAGAATCTTGCTTCTCATATTTTCCAAGTACTTGGATTTTTTTTTTTTCCATTGCTACCACTAAGCATCCACCAGAACATTCAAATCAGTATAGAAACTGTGATTATATTGCCCAGTCTTAACTAAGGTAAGTTATTTCCTAATGATGTTGGAATTCAGCAATCATTTACTGGTTTTAAGTTTGGCAAGAGTGGAAAAGTTAATGAGAAACCCTACTATTAGAAAATCCCACTAAACAAAGCAGGGAAAGTCAGAGACTTTATTACTATCCAGTTCCCTTCACAATGCTATTTCTTATCCTTTTTGTTTGTTTTGTTAATCCTCACTGGAGGATATTTTTTCCATTGACTGAAAGGGAAGGTTGGAGGAGGGAGAGAATGAGAGAGAGAGAGAGAGAGAGAGAGAGAGAGAGCGCGCGAGAGAGCACGCGAGCTATGTGAGAGAGACATCTGCCGGTGGGTGCATGCCCTTGACAGGGAATCGAACCTGCAACCCTTCGGTCCGCAGGCCGACACTCCAACCACTGAGCCAAACTGGCCAGGGCCATGTTACCCTTTTGAGATGATAAACTGATGAGAGTTCGTGCGAGCCCGCGCGCACACACACACACATTGAAATCAACATAAAAGTTAGCGTGAAGGGGAAAAACCAAAGCACAAAATTAAGTGTGAAGGAGGATCAGGAAAACCCTTAGCTTTGCTACTGTCCTTTGTAGAAGCATTTTTAAAACACCATCGGAGAAGCCACCCCCCAGCTCTCTCTGTTGCTCAGTAGTAATTTGGAGATGTGAGCGATTGGCGTTGTATAGTATCCATACATCTGATGCTGTGACTATTTACAAAGCATGCCTTGTAGAAACTGAGCGTAATTTCCAACCTTACTTAATTTCACTCATGCCTGGATTGAGGACCATAGGAACCCAACCAATATTGATTGATTCTAGATTATAACTGGAATAAACTGTGAATTGTAAAGGTTTTCAGGGTCCAGACTACTACACATTCAAAAGCTGGGAACCAGGGCCTCTGAGAGAAGGCTCGGATAAAGACACTGACAAAGATGAAGAAGGGAAGGCTGGACAAGGTTTCATGAGCTGGAATACAAACCCTGTCATTGTGCTGACTTGTCCCATTACCGCTGAGAGGAGGTTCCGAGATCCTGTTACATGTTATTCCGGATACCGAGGGAAGGAGCCGGGAAGGGACAGGCTTCTCGTATCCATCCACATCCAATCTAATGCCCACTTCAGGTCACCCATGAAATAGCAGAAAAATATCTAGTTTTTATACATATATTTAAAAAAATATTTTTAAAATTTATTTTGAGAGAGAGAGATGAAGGGAGAGGGAGAGAATGATAGAAACACCAATGAGAGAGAAATATCAGTTGGCTTCCTCCTGCACAGCTCCTCCCGGGGACCGAGCCTGCAACCCGGGTGTGTGCCCTGCCCAGCGATCAGACTGATGATCTCTTGGTGCGTGAGATGATGCTCAGCCAACTGATTCACACCAGCCAGGCTAGTTTCTATACATACTATTTTCATTTATTCTGAGCATTCTTTCGTTATGATACACACAGATTATTAAAAGTTATTGTTCCTCTCCGTAGTCTGATCATATCACTTTCAATAAGCATTCTTGAGGACTTGTTACATGGTGGTGCATGAAAAGTTGATCCGTTTTCAAGGCACAAGGTTATGGAAAGGAAGCAGGCAGAGTTCCTGGATCAGGGAGTTCACAGCCCGGGATGAGAGGGACAGCAGTAGATTGTCCCAAAGCAGGTCACAAGGTGCCCTGAGATCATGAAGGAGGAGCAGTTCCTTCCTTCCCCCTTTCAGCTGGGACAAGAGGCACTGGAGAGCGGGGCAGATTCAAGGAAGTTTCCAGTACGACTTCTTGGCAGTGAGAGAGCCTGAGCTTGATCTTAAAGACCGAACAGAATTTTGTTCAGATAAAGAAAGAGGGAGTGTTTTGAAGGGAAATAACAGAAGCCAAGGACTCTAGTTTCAATAGGTGTGAAAAATCATTATGAATCATCATCTACATCTTTAGAAACTACATGGTTGCCTTTCGTATTGGATATAATTTCCTAGTAATGACTTTCTGCTGTGTGATGTTTTCGCTTTCACCACTGACATTTTCTAGTGTCTTGTGCCGTCTGAACTAGCCAAACAGACCCCTCTGACTCTTGAAAAGAATTCATCCCATTACCAAACCCGGTGGTATGGATTCTGAATCTCTGTCTTCTGCTCCAGTATTTCATACCACCCAACCCTGACCACTTCCTCCATTTAAAAATCCATTTCTTCCTAAACTGCTGTTGAGGATTCTACCCAGCGCTTAGTAATTGAATACTTCCATAAACTCTCTGCCCGAGCATGTGGATTTCAATGAATGATATTTTTATTACAATGTTTTTTGTTATTTGAAGTTTTTTTGGTATATTTTTCAGTCTGTTGGTTGTGATTCCTTAGTTAGGTGATGATCATTGGGAGGACAAGAATCCTGTCTTCTCACCCCTGCAGGGTGAGAACCTACAGGGCGGGCTGGCAGGAAATTTGAAGTGCATGGAGCCTGGGAATGGAGAGTAGGCAGATTTTAGGAGAAGGAATTTGAACAACTAATCCTTCAAGGCTCTCAGAAACCAAAGCTTGTATCAAAGGGAGCTTTTGGAAAACCCTTCTGAGTCATAGATACATGGTGTAGGTGGGCACTGCTGGTGGCTACTCGGCAACCATACCTTCCTCGCTTCCACCCAAAAGAAGCTTGGCTTCACTCATGAGCTTTTGCCACCGGGTACTGTGCAGCTCAGGGGAAGATGAACTTTTATCCACCTCCAAGGGAGCTGTTCTTAGTCTGAGGCTAAAGTAGTCAGTGATTAACAGTGACCAGACAGATTAAACAAAAACTTGACAGTAATTGGTTAGGGGTTGGGTGACCCAGTTCTGGCCAGTGAGGATCCGGGCTGGCTTCATGGACGGTCAGCCTGTGCAGTCGCATAAACCCCACTCCTACAAGGGTCCTGTGCGTGATGTAATGTTACTACTGTTGCTGCCTCGAATCGCTTACTAAGTTTTGAACAAGGGGCCCATATTTTCATTTCGCACTGGGTCCCAAAAAATATGTAGCCGATTCTTATGAAAAACAAGGTGCTGGTGATGCAAAAATATAATTTCAAGAAAGATTGATAGTAGCATTACCACAAGGAGGACTCAAATTGTGGCTGAGAAGGAACTGAGTGGTAGGTTGAAGTCGTAATGTGGAAAACGAACCCAAAATAACAGCGATCTCTTGCCATTTAGGACCTGGGGTGAAAATCAGCAGAGAAAGTGGTTTGGGGCTGGGGCTTTGACCACCGCGTGATACATTTTTATGTGGGTCTGTTGAATTGCGTCTCTCTGGGGCCACTCTTCTAGACTAAGGAAACAGGCCAGGGCTGTGTCGAGTCCATAGAGCGATAAAAGACAACGGTGTTTCGGAGTTGGAGACTTCATAATGGCCTGGAATGAAGTGTGGGCTCCTGGGTTAGCAATCAATGCTGGGTTTCTTTACAAAATATGAAGTTGCACTTTTACTTTTATTTTTTTCTAATTTATAACCCATTCTTCCATTTCAAGTGTTTCTGTAGCACTCCAGGACCTTGATTGGCCTCCCAACCTTCCCCTTTGGTGGGGAGAGTAGTCAGGACTAGCTGTATAATTTGTGGTTCCCAATGCAAAATGAAAATGTGTTAATACTTCCTGGTTAAAAAAAATTATTAATAATTTTATGAAGGTAACAGCAGAGCATTGAACCAAGCATGGGGGCCTTCAGAGCATGGGACCCTCTGGGACTCTACAGTTTGCCTGTTTATGAAGTCAGCCTTAAAGGTAGCCTTTGTTTAAGGGAGACCCTCCTCTTCACATATGTCTCTGAGCGTCACACAGGTGCCTCCTTTTAACTTAAGGAGGTGTTTGAATTTCAGCCCACCTCCGAGCCCAGGTTCTGAAGGATTCTTTTGTGCTACAGTTTGGGACTACAGTATCAAAAAACTATGTAGATGTGGAGAAGCCGGCCTCGTAGCATGTGGGAAACATTCAGGCAAGTTCCTAGATAGCTCTGTCCCCAGGCAGACAGCAAGGTGCTGACAGGCTGTGTGTGGATTTCTCTTTGAGAACTGAGCCCCCCAGCTGAGGGTATGCAGGTGCTGGAGGCCGTGATTAGCATTGGCCCTTTGCCTGGCCACATGTATGTGAGTATTTTGCAGCAGGGTTATCCCTGTTGTCCTGTCCTTGTTTATGTTTCTCATAAAAAAGAAACGGTCTTACAAGGCACAAACACCAAGGCAAACCTTTCTCCTGACAGGTAAAGACACCATCTGACAGACCAGGCTCTGGGTCCATCTCAAGATGGTAGGTGTGTGTACACAAAGATCGAGCATAGTTGGAATGACAGAGTCTTCTGCCTTATTCCTATCACGTTTTCAAGACTTAACTCAGGTTGTATCTGTTTTGGGAAGCCATCTCTGAATCCCCCTTCATCTCCATTCTGGGTTAGCTACAGTTCCTGTGTGTTTCCATGGTAGAGAGGCTTTGTTTTTTATTTTTCGTTTTTTTGTGTTTTTTTAAAATTACAGTTTACATTTAATATGATTATGTGTTACTTTCAAGATTCTTTGTTTTTCATTGCCGTGCCCTTTGTACAGTGTCTGGCATGCAGTAGGTGCTCTGCAAAATGAAAGCACGGATCAGCCAGCCTGTCAATATTTGCCACCTTTTGATCTTAAGG